TTACGCAAAATAGAATCAAAGTGTTACACTCGAAGCCAATCACATTAGAATCCAAAGTGACAAGTAAAAAAACACCCGACACAAACGAACGGCAAACTGCATGGTGGGTGGAGTCGAATTACGCATGCTCAGCAAATTGTTCGCACAATACTGCGGCCAATATGAAACCCCCCACCTGAATTTCACCCCGCACCTATGAGATATCAGCGGACCCAGAAAAACGGTAGTTAGACCGTGGAGTCATACGAAGGCATACGAAGGTTAAAATGTACGATGAAATCCTGTCGGTTGGTGCCTAGTAAGCCAACAGCTCAAGGAACAAAAATATTCCCTCTGCGTCATTTAACCAAGTATGTCATCTATTTTCTCCCTAAATCACAACGTTTTTAGGTTAGTTGTGCTCGGTAAAGCATGATGGATATGGGCAAGACTGAAACAAGGTACCAAAATTACTGAAGATGAGGGGCATTCACGGAATAGTCCCGTTCGGATTCAAAACAAACTGAGTCCACTCGGGCACCAGGCTGACAATTCCTCTTGTGAACGATCGATATTTTGTTTCACCTACTTTAATCGGTCGCCCAGTCATAGAATTCTGTTGCTTACAAATCGACTAGGACGGAGATTAACTCACGTGCTAGACATCCCCGATCAAATTATCCCCAGTCTGGCTACAAACGTCACTTCACCAGCGCCTAGGAGTGGATCACCAAGAATACTACTATTCCGCGTATCCGACATGCGATTTGACAGAGGCTGACGAACCTATACAATTTCTGAAAATGATCTCGAGTATTCAGAGTCCCATCAAAAGTGGTTGGGGTGCGACCTTACTGAGCGGAAGGTCTGTGATTTGAACCAAACCCCGGCACCCCGACTGCTCCTGTCAAGGCTTGGGTAACCTGCCAATATCTCAGTCTTCATGCTTCCTCTGTGTGAGATGGTAGCTATGCTCCAAACTAGAGCTGAGAGATAATCTTTTCTGGGAGCGAGAGGGCTAATTGGTTAGAGCGCAAATTTACCGACCGGAAAGTCCGTCGTTCGAACCCGACCTTTAGATGAATAGCATTCAGTAACCCGAATCGTAAAATTTCATAGTGTTAAAGTATCGGGTTTAGATACACTCCGTTTGTTGACGGAATTCAGTGAGCGAAAATTTCCCAACCGGGTTCTTTTTCCTAAGTGGGTGGTAGTGATGGTAGTCTATTTTGAGCCTCCTAACAACAATTCTGAGAGTTTTCAGCAACCCTGTGAGTAGTTTCCTTTATGAAAACACTATTGATACTTTTTATGTCTTTAGTCCTATTTGGGGACAGCGAATAACTGGACGCAATAAGCGTAGACTGCGTCCGAATGATCTGACAGTCCAAACCAAAATATGCCTGTGACCAGCCTAAGGTTGGGAAACCTAAATAAACTTAACTCTATCCTAGTGGTCTCAATCCGAGCTTGTGTTGTTTTTCCATTATCGTATCTTCAGTCTGGTAACATCAGTTTAAGGATTTCCCGTCTCCGACTACAGTTATTTGGGCGAGATGGCCCAAGTGGTTAGAGCGTGAATTTACTGACCGGAAGGTCCGTGGTTCGAACCCGACCTCTGTCACTCGACTTCCCCTGTCTAGGCTTGGGCAACCTGGCAGTATCCCAGCCCTCGTGCCTCCTTCGTGTGGCATGGCAGCTAGGCACCGAAAGGGTCCTACAGCTGGACGATTATTATTATTTATTTATTATTATGTCTGTCTAACTGATAACGAGTGCCCCAGCCTCTGTCTGTCACTATGCCTGTCTCACTGATAAAGAGTGCCCGCTCTACACGCAGAACTGCTCAAGTATTAGACATTACATAGATACACGATCAAAATTTCGATAACACGCAAAGGGATAGACAAAAAATCGTTCAGCTGTGGCACCCTTTCGGCGCCTAATCGCCAAGCCACCGGAAGGAACCACGACGGCTGTTATACTGCCAGGTTGCCCAAGCCTAGATAGAGGAAGTCAAGAGGCAGAGGTCGGGTTCGAACCACAGACTTTTCAGTCAGTTGATTCGCGCTCTAACCACTGAACCATAACGCCCCATTAAAACCCTATCATTAAACCGTACCTGATCGGTCTAGCTTTTTATATGCCACGTCCCCAAGTTTGCCAAAAAGCATATTGGCTCGGACAGCACGGGATTCCAACTGATGATCGGCAGTCGGAGTCGTGGATACTTCCGGGGTAGCCAAAATCCGCACAGTGCCTTATGTGAAGTAACCCGACTCGTATAGCGCCCATTTGTAGGTAGCAAGTTCAACCACATTGACCGGGTGAACGAATTGAGATTGCGCATCAGTATTTCGTGAGTCAGCGGTACTACTAGTGTAGTTTCCCATCAATCTTATGAACACTGAAGACAACACGCTTTTGTAATGTACTACTCATAAGGTTGCTGAAAATCCATCCACAGCCCACGACCGGTTTCGCCCTTCTTCGGGCTCATCAGGTAGGCGCAGTCCCCGGGTTTCCGTCAACCTTATGTTCTACTTGAGACCAAATTGCACGAAATTAGCGAATATACACTCAATTGCAAACTAATTTGTTTTTGCCTGAAAACATCACAAACAAGAGATTCAGCTGGGTTCCCGGTGAGTCTCTCGAAAAAAGCAAATTAGTTTGCAAATGAGTGTATATTCGCTAACAATACGCTTTTATTCGGAGTGAGATGGCTCAAGTGGTTAGAGCACGAATTTCCTGATCGGAAGGTCCGTGGTTCGAATCCGACCTCTACCTCTCGACTTCCCCTGTCTAGGCTTGGGCGACCTGGCAGTATCCCAGCCCTCGTGGTTCCTTCCGGTGGCTTGCTAGTTTGGAGTCGAGAGGGTGCTACAGCTGAACGGTTTTTCTTTAAATGGCAATTATTTGTGCTATTCTGATGGATCTCTCTCCACTTTTACTGTGTTAACACAATCAAGTACAGATAGAATTTCGTTGTCCGAGTACTAGAAATAGCTGTGCAGTTCCGACTTAGAGAAACTAACCCCACCGTGACATTTGGGTGTCACCTTATGGTGCTTTTTCCGGAGATAGTAGATAGATAGTCGTTCAGCCGTAACACACCTTTTTGTGCCTATCTGCGATGCCACCCGAAGGATGCACGAGGGCTGGGATACTGCCAGGTTGCCCAAACCCAGACAGTGGAAGCAGAGAGGCAGAGGTCGGGTGCGAACCTACTGGTCAGTAAATTCACGCTCTAACCACTGAGCCACCTCGCCCTTTTGCAATACAAAGGGGACGTTCCATAACAATGTATATCTTTCGGAAATTTCGTGTCACCCAGTTTATTCACTTGCGAGGCACAGCGAATAAAATATTAGTTGACATTCCACAACAAAAGTGGTACTTACTGTTTCCCCCTCGGATAATGACGGACAAATTCTCCTATATCATGGACTGCCACTGACAGAGTCTGAGAATCCACGCTCAACTCGACAAGGCGAACCAACATCCTGAGTCAAATATGAACAGATCGGTAAGTTAGGAAGTGCATGTGATACGGGTTTGGAAAAGGAACGGTAGTATACAGGGCTTCTCACCTCGTGGATGATGGATAGATACGACAAAAAGGATAAAACGAAACCCAATGAAAAACCACCCTCATGATGCAGCAATGCACAATGAAAAAAACACAAGGAAACCTTGATTAGGTCTCAAAAACCCATGACAACAAGCCATCGGTTTCTCCCTGCAAACCGATCCGAGGCATCATTCATCCCAGAATGATGCACATCAGACCCACGAAAAGATCGACAAAACTTAGCTCGTTTAGGGACAGTGAAACTGCAGCAGTGTAATAAGATTCAAAAGGAAAATGTTTAGCTCAAAACAGAACAGAAACATCTGAAGCAGGCATTTCAGAGGACGCCCTCTTTGAATGAAGGTTCCGTGTAAACCATGCATCGAAAAGTTGCATGATTTGTGGATACCCGGCGTTTCTCACAGGCGTTCTGCAAAATGGAGACTATGGTCAGCAGGCATATTTCCAAATACACATCGAAGGAAAAGTTGTTAGAAGAAAGACCAAACATATGGTTGCATAAATGAATATAACGGGTGAAATTATGTTCGAACCACCGGTAATGTCGTATTTACGTGGTTTTACTTCCGAAGTTCTCTCCACGTGCTATCATATAGAATATATAGTATAGTATAGTACTATGCAATAGTATGTTGTACTATACGTAGTACATAAGTGGTATGTACCATGTTGTAACATATATAGAATATACTATACTATACCATGTATATTACATACTACACTATACAATACTGCTGCTATATTACTATACTACTGTACTATGCTACAGTATATAATAGCGGTCATATAGCGGTCATACATAACACTATCAAAACCGATGGACAAATTGCGGATTCTTCCGTTAACAGTTAGACCAAAAGGGGCGCAAACAAGAACGCAGTCCCAGTAGCGAACTCGTGGAAATCTGATCGGGGTGCAAAAAATGCTGGCCACAACTAGCAGTTATGGAAGGGTGTGGTCAGTCCTAGAGAGCAATCCATTTGGCGTTTCGTCCTGATTGCGACAGAATCGGTCGTCTGTTGAATTAGATAACAACGTTCACTCGGCTGTTCACAAATGGATGTTACCAAACAAAATCAAAGCATGGACGAAAACAAGGAAGCAATCCCACGCGACACTACTCATAAGGTGAATGAAAACTCTGAGGAGTCCAAAATCGGCTTTGTGCTTCTTCACGCTCACCAAGTAGGCCTGGTCCCCGAATTTTTATTTCGATCTTAGAGACCAGATTGAAACCACCAGAAAGGCCAAAAATGGGGAATTTATTCAGAAATCTCAAGGTACACTATGAACAGAAGAATTCATGTATAATTTCAAAACAAGTAGAGGAATGATTGTTTCAATGTCGGTGACATCATAATCAGGAGGGAACTATTCGTGAAAAATTACGTGAGTTTCAAGAAAACTGAAAGAATGTAGATCTTACTTGATGACTTCATAATTGTTGTCTGTGAACTTGACAGCATTCTCGTGCCAAAACTTTTCCGATTTATGCACGGGAGACCACTCCAAACGACCCGACTTTAATTCTGTCGTGTATTCTTCCAGACTACTCACATCTTGAATGCTTGCTGAAAGTTTCTCCTGGAAAAGAGTTTAACATCGGAAAGACTGAATACGAAACCGGGGGATGCTACAGTGGCCCAATAGAGGTCGAAATTAACGTGAATTGGATCAACAAACCACACTGATTCAGACAACCTGAGGCAACCTGAGGTTCAACGGCTGCCGGTGACAGTCACACGAGTTACAAGCTAATTGGATAGTACGAAGCACTGATTAGGATTCCATGTTCTTCTCGCAACACGTGGCGGCGCAACCCTCACTATGTCGTGGCGTTGGCCCTGTGAGGTTGCAGGCCGAGAACCCACTACGCCCTGATGGTACCAAAGCCCATGTACAACATTCGTTACACCATAGTTAGCCATATGGTGGTGTCAGTGCAGGTCACAGTGAAATAAGCCTAACGCCTACTGCACAACAAGTTCGGGAAAAACGCCTCGAACGTTCTGGCGTAAAACAGTGGTGCGTCCTTTGCTCTGTCCCCTTCAATGTCTAATCGTTTTGCTGTAACACCCTTTCGGTGCCGGGCTGCCATGCCACCAGAAGGACGTACGAGGGTTGGGATACTGCCAGGTTGCCCAGGCCTAGACAGGGAAAGTCGAGAGGCAGAGGTCGGTTTCGAACCACGGACCTTGCGGTCAGTAAAAGCGCACTCTAACCACCGAGCCATCTCACCCCTCCCCTTCAATGCGCCTCTAACGACCACCGACAAAGTTTGTGAATATTATGGCTAGCGCGAAGTTCAAAAACCAGCTTGACGGACGTCTTTTCCATATTGGATGTTTTGGTGCGGAGTCTGACCTGCCAGAATCATGTCCACATCACGTTCGCAGACAGTTGCGTATGGTCCGCACACACGCATGATGAACTGTGGTACTCAGTTGAGAATTTTGTTACTGTAGCTACACGGTTCGCCATGTGCATGCACACGGGTTTTTATTATGCGCCAGCGTACGTCAGCTGGAATTTCAGTGCTCCGTGCACCACACCTGGAATGTAGTTTGTGAATTATTGCACATAGCTGCTGTTACGTCAGAACCACCCCCTGTCTGCAAACTTGATTGCTGAAGGTGAGTTGAGATACCGCATTAATAAGGCAAACTCAACAACAGAGTGGAGGTGGGACCGGAGTTTGTCCGTAAGGCGATAACCCTGTCTGCCCTCTTGTATGGCAACGAAAAGCCGACTATATGCCAACATATCTGAAACTCGTGTAGCCTTCACATGCACTGTTTAAGGTGCTTGAACTGAACAAGCGCCCACCACGGAGGTTCCCCGAAGGGAGTGTTGTCGTGGAATGGAGCTCACGATCACACACAACCGTCTACAGTGGATGGAACTGAACTTCAAAACAGACTCAATATGATCAACTGAAAACGAAGAAACGGAACCCTGGAGGATGAACGCTTCCATAAGTGCACATCTTGATCTAAAAGCTGTCCATGTAGGTCTCGATAAGTGGGAAGAGGAAGCAAACAGCATGGAGAAAAGTGACATGACCTCAATTTAATGATCATCAACTTTGAGCCCGAGTTGAAGCGCGAAAGACATAGAGCCGCTGGATACAGGAATAGAACAAACTGGTTCTGTAGCGACTGCGATCCTATGTACACTGACAGCATTGAACTAATTGGCGGTCAGGGTGCACGATGACCCGTCGACAAAACGTGGATAAAATTTTTTCAGATCTATTTCTGGTTTTACCATATAGCCAAGTCTGCGACGGTGCTGCGGGCATCTTCCTCGGCTACCGTCGTATGGACCAATACCGGTCAGTACGCCCTAACACAATGAACACTTTGGTGTTCGGTGATAAAATCTGTAAACAGTGCCGGTTTAGTTGGCTTGTGGAAGTAAATTGCTCGATTTCAGATCGATGAGCATTCATTTGGTCAGTACTAACGGTATTATCCTTCCTTCCGAAACCATTATTGTTGCGATCTGAAGAACACCTGAAATTCATGCGACCTTGAATGGTATCTATTGCTATGGGCGGCAACCCTAGTGCTGATGCCAAACAGAGGAACATGTATCGTCCTTCATCCGCACAAAATGTACTCTATCAGGTGACAAATATGAATTTGTTACGTGAGACCCATTGCTGGATTGATTTGGGGTATTCATGCCCAAATGTCAGATGAAAAGCTGTAAGGAAACAAGCTACGACATTGGGGCTATAAAGGCAACTGATGGGGAGGAACACTTTAGTGCAGGGACATCGAATAAACTTACGTTGAGAAAGTTCATATCGTCAGTTAGTTCGGGATCATGGCTATAGTCCTTTTGACGCAGGAGATCCAGTTGTCGGAGCACTTTGCACTGAACCAGGCTAAGACCACAAGTCCGACGCTCCGCTGGAGTAAGTTGCTTTTCTAAAACAGACTGGAATGCAAAGAATATATTACAGGATATCATCAATGGCCCTTAGGCATCGATCGATTGGGAGATCCATGCATCATCAAACTTCTTACTAAAACTGTGACAATGAATGTGACTTGACTTTTCACAGACAACCAAGAGTCTTGTTTCCGTATACAGCCAATATGCTATCTCGGGTTCACATATCCATAGGCGGGATCCGTGTATACTCGTTGAATAATTCCCCGAACGGTTTCCTCAGAATGCTTGAGATTAGTAAATTCCGGGCATTGGGCTACTTTCGAAGACTCCACTGTGATACTCACCAGCGAGCAAACGTTGCTTATAGTTCCCTAAGTGAAGAATCATCCTTTTTAGTTAGTATAATCTCTCCTATATCCTACCACAATCAATTTATCTCATTTAGCTATCCATGGTTTCGTACTCAGTATAATACTGAACAATAATTTTGGGGTACACGATCGGTATGTCCTGTGGCTACTGCTCTGCTGCACTGTAGAATGTGGAGGAATTATGCTGTAGATTGCTGAATATATGTCAATAACTCCATAATTTCTCGCATCGAGTTACCCAATCCGTCAAAGAACTTCCGATTGTTTGTGCCTAACTGATAAAGACCCTCATCCGCTTGACTAGCTATGTCTTGTCCTGCCATGGTACCCGGTGGCCGCATCACCAATTGGGACTTAGGACTGATTTCGGACAGGAAAACTGGCAACACACTACAAAAACCCCGTCCAACTCGCCGTTATTGGGTGTGTCGAGTTTGACACGGTCAATCACCTGGTAGACTTGAAGACTGTCGTTGGTCTCAATAACTCAGGCAATTGAAGTAGTTGAACTCGACTCTTCTTTTCATCGTCTGACCTGAGTGCAACTCAAGTTTCCGTATCGAGACCGTATTTGTGCGGGAATACAGTTAGCGTTATCCTTGATTCCCCTGTCAGACCCAGTCGGATTATCCGTCTGAACTCCCTGTAAGAAAACCATTTCTGTTTAGTCCCTTGAGAATTCTATGGGATTTGTGGACCACAGAGAAATCGAGGTTTAGCCCTAAAAGGGACCAAAAATTCGTCAACCACTAACGTCTGGCTTGCTGCAAGTGTGTCCTTTCCCAGAGTTCCCCAAACCGCAAGGTTCCATCTTGAAACAACTTTTATGCATCACGTTGTTGAAACATGTCCAATCTGGGTTCAAGCAGAACAGGAGGGTGAGGGAATCTCGGGGACAGTACCTACCTGATTAGCCCCAATAAGGGCAAAACCGGTCGTAGGCTGTCGAACAGTTTTCAGCAACGTTGAGTCGTTTCCTTTATGAAAACGTCCAATGTGCTTTCGTCGTTTAATTTGTCCGATAAGCACTCATTTATGTTTTATGGAGATGAACCAGTGGATTTCGTTTAATTTGGGTCCAACTGGCTTACGGAAACTCGGGGAAACCGCCTAACTGGTGAGTCCCAAGAAGGATGAAACCGATCGTGGACTGTCAAAGAGTTTTCAGTAACCTCATGGGTAGTATGCTGTCCAATGTATGACGATACTTCGAATATCATACCAACTGAAACATGAGGCGACCTGGTGTAGAACATTCGGTTGAAGGACACCGCAAACGAGCGATTCAGTTGGGATTCAGTTGAGTGCCGCGCTAAAAACCAAATTGCTCTGAAAATGAGTTCAACTAGATCATAACGTTGATAGTGAACCCCAAGAAGGGTGAAGCCTGTCTTCGGCTGCAGAATTTTTTAATCACCTTATAAACGTAATGGGCCAAAAAATATTCCGTGATATCTCAAAGATTGTACATGAAGCGGTCACAGTCAATTGGGGAATATCATCATCATCATCATCGTCACCATCATCATCCTCGTCCTCATCCTTATCTTCATCATCATTGTCATCGTCATCATCATCATCAGAGAAAGCAACATCAGTGTTGACACCGATGGTTCGCTGTCGTACAACCACATGGTATGAGATTATCGTTAGCTGTCAGTACCAACGTTGTACGTGTGTTGGAATACTGCCAGGGTGCCCAGATGCAGACAAGAAAATAATATCATAAAACGAATGATTCAGCTGGAATTTGGTTGAGACTCCCGTTAAAAGAAGATTAGTTTCCAAATGAGTGTACTCTGTGTGGTCACCACCATCAGTACAGCACAAGCTGTACAAAGACAACAGCAGCACTGTGTCGTAAGACAACAGACATGCATAACCACCGGGTGTTACAAACATAGGTAGCCTATCTTTACCAAAAATCAACAATATCAATTCAATTTATCAGCTATAAACCATGGGTAGATTGGTCCCAGCTACTACCCTTTCGATCACTAGAAACTGGCAGAGCGTGGGAGCCCAGCATTGGAGATTCTGACATGTTCAATTAGTCCGGGATCTGGTCAGCCGCGCAGCGAAAGCGATAGCTTTGAGCACGAGCACCGGTCACTGCGCGATTGGGCCATTTTTGTCAGTGTTTTTAAGCAGTGATGAGTTGAGTCCCGGGGTCCCAATCCAGGGAGGCGGGTGTTGTCGACCCGATCCGGGTTACTGATTAGTGTTTTCATACTCCGTTGCCAGGTCAAACACTGTCCACCACTCGGTCGCTTCCATTCAGCACAGGGTTGGGGGAAAGAGCTACTTGAGGCAGACGGTCTTCTGGCATATGGAGTACATGTCCTAACCAGCGTAACCTGTGAAGCGTGAATAATTTATGGCAGGAGAGTCCCTTCTTCCAGGGACGATCTGGCGAACCTAATCTCATGTTCCCACCAGACCCGACAGATACTTCGTCGACATCGATGGTCAAACACTGACAACCTTAGTATATCCACTGCCCGTAGAGGTCACTTTTCTGATCCACAAGGCAGTATGGATCACACTGTCCTTGACAAACAGACTGAAGTCACGTTGCCACCATAGGTGACGAAAACTGGTAAAATCTGCCTATTTGAGACATGATACCATCTAAGTCGATAGTATACTGAATATGAGTCGATGAATGAACTAGAGATCATCGAACCTTAAACGCGATGACGTATTGGATTGGCGCCCTTTGACGACGATCAGCTGTAGCACCCTTTCGGTGCCTAGCTGCCAATGCCACCTGAAGGAAGCATGAGGGCCGGGATACTGCCAGGTTGCCCAAGTCTAGACAGGGGAAACTGAGAGGCAGAGGTCGGGTTCGAACCGCAGACCTCCCGGTCGGTAAATTCGCGCTCTAACCACCTGAGCCACCGCGCCCTAGTGCAGGGTGAATGGTTGACTGTGAGCTGTTTTTATGCATCGGGGTGAAGCAGTGGTTTCCACCGGAAAACTTACTCGGAACAGAGCCAGCGAAATGCGGATGATCTTTTCGCGCTCGGCTTCCCGAAAAATATCAGCTACCGTAGGGATGAACAGTGGGCTTCTACACATTCTCTGTACGTGTTCCAAATCGAAACTCATGCACCAGAGACAGAATATCAACTGATATTGCAGCTGAAGCCCAGTACGTTTGTCACCCAAAACTTCGACGATACTACAAGGGAAGACAAAGAAAGACAAGGGCGAAAATAGCATCGAACCGCCCTAATTTGCATTCAATATTGCAAATTTATCAATATTTACTCAGTATGATACTAAGTCACGAATACACTTCTGTCATTAATAGGTCATCAAGAAGCTCACATACACTAAATGTACACGAACAAACTGATCCTACAAACAGCTCGTGGTTCGAATGTTTGAGTTAAACGATTTGGTCGGAAAAACATTTTCACCCCTCGGATAACAAAAAATGCATAGCTTGGTAGTCCCGAGTGAAAAATGGAACAAAGTTAGCACGTTTGATAGTATTGGTTCGACATAAAACCGAACAATGTCTGTTCCGTTTCTTAATTTAGCATGGCATGAAGAAAAACTGACGGATAGCCTGGGTTGAAAAAATCGACTTGAGCACCTGTTGGATGCAGATTAAGTTAAGAGTACCTAGTGTCTATTGGGACAAAGAAAGTAGACCATTAGCGGACAGGTCACATTAAGCACACGGCCAGACCACACGACCAGACCCTCGGATGAGCCTCTGATCCGAGTTAGTATGTATAATAAAAACATTATAATGGTTCAGATGTAGCACCCCTTCGGCGCCCAGCGGCCACACCACTTGAAGGAAGTACGAGGGCAGACATTACCAGGCTGCCCAATCCTAGACAGCAGCGGTCGAGATGCAGAGGTCGGGTTCAACCTCGGTTTTTTCGGTCAGTAATTTCGCGCCCCAACCACTGAGCCAGCAGTTGACGGTCTATGTGCACTAGTTAGCAATATATGTAGAACTTTGTTCGACTGGGCTACACATAGTAAATGAGCTTCGCCACATAGTTAGTTAGCGCTACGAAGCGATATTTCCAAGATACCAGAAATTACCCAAGTTTCTCAAGGTTGTTTTGTGTGAACCATAAAAGTTGAACGTTCATTACTATAATTCCTTAAGTAAGCAAGGACAACGTCGATGCTCATACGATTACGACGTTTTCCTTGGTTTAGCTGACAACCATCATCACCATCATGGACAGCATGAAACTGATGCTTCGCTGCCGTACAACCATGATTTTTTTGAAAGCCTTATTGTGGAGAAAAAAGTAAAGGTGGACAAAGGAGGGACTTGGTGCTGCCTTACTACAATCATCTCCATGTGCCTATACCTCCAAACATTCATTCAGGCAATCTGGATAGAAACTGACAACAAAAATGGCACTGACGTCTGTCGGGAGACATATCTTGCAGCGTCTACAACCAGATGCAGTGGGGATCACGCGGTCCCCATCCTGGAAGGCGAGCAGCACCGATAGCACCCAAACGTTTCGTAATCTCCTTCATACCCCTCTGCCAGTTCAAGGGTTGGTCACCTCTCTGCTTCCACCACTCTTAATTGGGCATGAGAAACAACACTCTCTTCAGCAAATGATGGTTGGGCATACGCAACACATGTCCCAAGTAACGCAGCTTCTGGCGCTGGGCGAACTCAGCAATGGATGTACTCGTTGCACGACCAAAAACTCGCTTTCTAATTCCCTCGTCAAGGATTCGCCGAAACCAACCCACACGAGCTATGGTTCTGAGACAAAGATTGTCGAACACCTGGAGACGCATCAGTTCCGCTGCTCGAAATGGCCAAGTCTCAGCCATACAACAAAACAGCCCGTACTGTAGCTTGATACACACGTCCCTTGAGACTTAGGGATACACCACTTTGACGCCATAGGTGTCTCAAATTAGCAACCGCTAACCGGTCATTGCAGATTCGTGCATTCACCTCATCT